CGTAGGTCCGATATTGCAGTAGGTCGGAAAGTTAGTAGGTCGGAAGTTCAGTAGGGGAGATATTGCGTATAGACGATGTAACATTACCCTATATCCTCCATATGTATCATGCATGATGAATCATAAAAAGTTTACCGCTTTCCGAAAGTTATTGATTAAACAATAAAGAAATATCTATCACAATTAAATTGATAAAATATAAATCTTCATTGTAATCCTTATAGTTTTCATTTGAATGAAATCCTGAATTCGAATTACTAAAATTTATTTTTCAATTTGTCGTTATGGGTAGGTCGTATTCATTATAGTAGTTTTATTATTCAGTTTTAACAGTTTAGCGGCATCAGCTAAGGCGGGTTGTGCGCGGAACCGTGAGCGGGAAACTTTTAAAAATTCTCGCTTTTTCATTGGATTTCGAACCAGTTCCTTCACACCTGTGCACACAGGATTGATGTATCATAAAGCACAGTTCAGAACTTCAGTCTCGTTATAATTTTCTGCCTGGGTTCACGAGATGAAGGATTGAACCGGACTCATACTATCAAACCTTCAAACGTATATTTACTTATATTCTATTTCAGAAAGAATAAAATGTCGGCCAACTCCGTTAAGATGTTTTCTGGTTACGATATGGACTCTAGGACCAGTAGCAAAGTGCTCCGCCCTCCAGGAGGCGGGTATACCGATATTTTTGGAATCAAAGACATTCAAGGTAATATTAATTAGATACACATTACACAGAATGAACATAAAAATAGTTCAAATGAAATAGTTCAAATGAACATAAAAATAGTTCAAATGAACATCAAAATAGTTCAAATGAAATAGTTCAAATGAAAAAAAAATAGTTCAAATGAAAAAAAAAATAGTTTAAATGGACTTAAAAATAGTTTAAATGGACAAAAAAATAGGTTATGTTAGGTAAAAATAGTTCAAATTAAACTATTTTTTTGTTCATTTGAATACTATTTTTTTGTCCATTTAAACTTTTTTTATTCATTTGAACTATTTTTTTTCATTTGAACTATTTTTATGTTTATTTGAACTATTTTTTGTTTATTTCATTAATAATATTTTAACAGTTCAAATGAAAATAGTTCAAATGAACTAAAAAATAGTTCAAATGAGCAATATATTTACTCGTTTGAACTATTGCTCATTTAAACTACTCACTTGGTCCCACGTGCAGTAGTTGAAATGAACAATAGTTCAAACGGCAGTAGTCAAAATGAGATAGCATCCAATCCCCATAATCTATTTTGTACTTAATATTAAGATTATATATTACTTTTTTGCATAGTCCTATAGATAATATAGCCGCGGCGCTCGACCTAATGCAGGCCGGTAGCTAGGGGAGGGGGCATAAGGGCACGTGTCCCACATTTTATCCCGAAGAAAAAAAAATTTCATAGAAAAAGATTTTCGGACCCCTACCCCCTGCTATAATTTTTGTGCATGCATCATAAGTAAGACAAGTGCACGCATAGATTAGACATTTAGACATTGTGGCCGCAGCGGCGGTCCCTAACCTGTCCGAGCCGCGGCGCTCGACCTAAAATTTTTTTGACCTATCCTAACCTTGGAATAATCTAAAATAAATTTTAATTTCATATTGGAAAATAGTTATAATCGTGTGCACTAAAAATCTCTAAAAATCTTAATCTAGGACTGAACCATGTGTGCAGTTGTAGGACTTTCGATAAATTGCACTTTTTGAGAGCTGTTGACAACTGAACAAGTTTTTATATAAACTATCTAATAGTGCTAAATAAGACCTTAATTCCTTTTTTCAAAGATATCTCGGCCTGGTTTAAAATTAAAACTAATTTCTTGATTCAGTGTCAAAACCTCCGGCGGCCCAAGAAACTGCTTCTGAAGCTTCAGCAGTTCCTGAACCTGTTGCAGCTTCTGCACCTGCTGTAGCTTCTGACCCGGTGGTTGCTCCTGAACCTGTAGCTGCTTCTGAACCTGTGGCTGCTTCCGAACCTGTTGCAGCTCTAGAAGTAGCTGAACCTGCTCCCTCCGCCCAGGAGTCTGCTCCGGCTTCAGGACCCTCATCTTTAGAAGTATCTGCCCCGTCTCCGGTTTCTGAACCTTCGGCAGCCGCGGAACCTGCTTCTCCAGGATCTCCTGGTGGGGACGCAGAAGCTGCTCCTGCTGGCTCAGGGAACCAGGAGCGTGTTAGGATTGATCCGACTTCGGGACGGATCATGAGCGCTCCTACAGCTAGAGCAGGCCGGGTTCCTCCTGGTGGTTTCTCCTCAGGACCTCTCTGGTAATCTGAATCTCAAACCCAGTGATATTTTCTACAATGAACAGCACAGAACACTGCAACAATTTAACTGTAATTAGATAATTTCTCATTAAAACGTTACCCTTTGCTATGTTAGCTTTCATCTAACAAATAATTATTTTTTTTTTAGTTTATTCTATATTTGAATAACAGGGACCCTATCTAACTTTGCATCTAGAACTCATATTTTAAACTCTAATGCTTGCATTTAATTTTGTTTTTTAGTACTAATATAATGTATTTTATCTCTCACAAAATAATAAATGTTAGTATTTTTTAGGTTAACTTTTCAATAACTAAATCTTTCACTAGTTTGCACAAATATAATAAAGATATCACGTTGAACTGAATTTATAACGTTGAATATTTCAGATAAAATGCGGAATCGCCGAACAACCAAAACTACTCGTCGAACCCTGACAGTGGAGGAGGAGGATAGGTTGAAGGAGGTCCCCCTACTCCTCCAGGACCTAAAGGGACAGGTTCTGTCCATCCTGAGTTCGTGTGAGGATAATACGAAATTGGCCTGTAAAAGTATAAAAACTAATCACAAAACAACCTTGAACAAACTAGATTTTGCTACTCGGTCATTATTTGTGGAATCTTCGGTTTTTGCACAGGTAAATATAATTTTATCCCCAATGTAAACCCCCTACCTGTTGTAGTTCCATCTTTACTTTCTTTAGAGTGGCATGTTTGATCTACGACGGTACAATTTACTAAATACACTTGATCTGATCAAATACACTTGATCTGATCATTGATGAACAAGAAACTATTTTTCTCAGTAAAGAAGTAAATGTTTATTGCCGGTAGCCGAGAAAGTTTACACTATAGAGCAGCGTACGGTGCTTGCAAATTTTTTATGTGTCAAGTGGGTTTTAAAAAAAATAATATGAATTAACGTTTTCAATTCAGAAACTAGTATATTCACAATAACGAGAATTTCTTTGGATAGAAGTACTGTTGTGAATCGGACATGCCACTATTCAAATAAAGAGACCGTTGAAATTAAGTCCATACAGTTCATTTATAAGGCAAATTAACTTTGGAGAAGCCTGAAATAATTATTGTGGAATAATGGTGTTAACATTTGATTATTCTCTTTCAACCTTAATATTCATATTTGAAAATATTAGCGCCAAACGTAGGCACAGGGGGTAATCAGGAATGGGGGGGGAGGGCTGAATTTACTTTTCTCACCAGGGGACTCAGCATATTAGGAAACTATGGGGGGGATACAACAAAACCGGTTTTAACATATTACTTTTTAAGGAGGAAAAAAGCGGTTTAATTTTTTTAGGGACTTCTTTGAGTAGAAAGGAAAACTCAATATCTTTCCTATTGCAAATTTTACCACTGGAAAATTTTGTCCAGCATGAAAAAATAAACTCGAAAGATTAAGACGTTAAAATTTGTTATCTAGAAGAGCGAGAAGAATGAAGATGTGAGTGCACAGTGCGCCGATATTGACGAATATCTATCGGACGTAAAATCAACTGTAAAAACTACATCACGAGTTCGTCGAGTTGCTGGAGGATCGACCGTACGTAAATCTTCACGGAAAAGGGTCGCTGAAACACCGCTCAGTTCGGTAAAATTAACCATTATTTTTAATGATATTTTCCTTACCAATATTTTTTATATAGGTTATTTTAGTAAACCACTTAATTTGGCGTTTTTTATCAGTTTATTTCATGATTACTATTCTCAACTGTCCTAAGTAATATTAGTAACAAAGTATAAACATTTATTTTCAAACAAGAAAGAAAAATTTTAAGATAAAATAAATTGTTAAAATTTTTTCTAATACTTTCAAAATTCTTTTAGATTCACTAAAGCTTTAATTTTTGAGAATATCAACTTAATTTTAATTCTAATAAAACATAAAATATTAAGTTCATTAATATCTCTAAAATATCTATTTGAATGCTAAGTTAAAAAAATGAATACTGTGTTTTCCGAAAATGACTGATTTTAATTGGGCTGACTTTGATAACTATCTCTCTGGCATTTGCCAAAGTTTCTATGATTTTATTAGCTTACATTTAGTTAATTTTCAATTTTTTAAAATTTAATATGCGAATATACAACAGTTTTTACTGTGTCATATTGATTAGGCCAAAGAGGGCTTTATGTATTTCTTTGACTTTCTCAAATATTTTACAAGAAATGTATTTTTTAAAATCAGAATCGGTTTTATTTACTGTGAAGAAAAAAATTCGCTTAATACTTTATGCCGTGGTGTCTTTTTTATTCACAGTAGTTTTTGTGTCTTATTCCTATCTTGGATTTAAATTTTTTAGGGATCGGCTGTAAGCATGGTTACTCCCAGTAACAAGATGTTGCCTACGAATATTGGAAGGACTCCAATGATCACACCGAAGTTCGACACGAGGACACCACTGACTCGAACCCTGCACCGTCAGGCGAAACCAAACGAGACTTTGGTATCGTTAAGCGGAAGTCCTGTCATGGCGACCGCTACCGTTAAGAAAGTAGGACGTGGAAAGGTGGGTTTAATGATTTTGTTCCGATAAGTTTATATTTTCCCCAAATATATCCCTATCATATTAGCTTCTATATATATATTTACTCAGATGATCTCTAAACTACGCATTGTATTGTTAATAATATCCCCATACCATTGTTCTTTAACTGATTTGATTCAGTCCTATTAGATGTTCTGGTTTGTATGTTGTATTGTTTCGGTTTGGGTCGTTGATATTATTTTTTAAGGTTTCCAAACTGTATTCTGCTCAAGTAAAGTTTTTATACTGAAACAAATAAATTTGGCTTGTCTGTCTGTTTGTATACAATAAACGTCAAAACGGCTGAACCGATCGGGCCCAAATATTTTGTGGGACATCACGTGACCACAGGGAAGGTTTATGAATGATCAAAATTTCAAATATTTGTCTCCATCAAAATTCGATCTTCATTAAATTTTTGAAAATTTTGAAAATTCACGAAATTTTTGGTGAAAATCCGCGAATTATTTTTGTTTTGTTTTACGATGTACACAGAGAGAACATGTTCACAATTAATTTAGAAGATGGCTAGTACTGAAAAAAATGGAAAAATTATCATTATAACACGTTAGATTTTGAATCGTTTTGGGTTCGGGTTTTTTGATGGATATTCTGTCTGACAAAAGTGTAAAAAAGCAAATGTTTAAAATTGACAATATTGAAAACATTGCTCATTTTCACTGCAAGTTAAAAAGCTTTGATCCTGAAAGAAAAGTACTTAAACAAACTAAAAACGCACCAACTTGATGCACATCACTACTACTGGTATGCCCCAAAAATCCTTATTTTATTAAAGCTATGTCTGACCCAGTAAGATGTGAGACACCCTGTATACTTAAATGATATGATCTAAATGTATTTTAGATTATGAAGCAAACACGTCACACACACTCCTTAAATATTTTTTAAAATTTTTCGTTTATTCGGATCGAGTCATGAACTGACTTCCTTGGAGGGTATTTTTCAGGTTAATTTTTGTCCCCCCTTCCCCCCCGTACATTTCTTATTCGCTGAACATTTTTTTAATTGAAACTATATTTCAGGCTAAACAGTCAGAAGCTGACAGTTTTGCTCAGATTCCACTGGGAAAGAACTATACGTTAAGTATGCCAATTTCTGCGGATTTCCAGACTGACGGGTTGGAACTGGATGATGATCAGATAAACAAGCTTGCTCTCATTCAGCAGGGTCTAACCAACATGCTCCGGGGTAGAATAGCATCCTCAGAATCAGAGTAGGATACAATCCTCGAGCTTGGTTTTATCTTCGCCGTTTACCATATAATTATATTTACTTAGAGAGTCTGTATGCAAAGATGGCAATGCCCGATTTACAAACCTTTATCTGATCAGAAATGTGGAAGAGAACGTTTTTTTCTGAATCGAAAAATGTATTTTTCTCAAAGTTTCTCCATTGCTTCTTATAAACAACGCAAGCCCCTTTCGCATTAAATGAAAAAATTGATATATAAAAGTACTTAATCAGACAACGCTTTAAAGGGTACCGTCGTACATCTGGCATTGCCATTTTTGCATGGAGGGCCATTTGAAATTTTGCTTACAGTCGGTTTAAAGAAAACAAATACGCTTATACGCTCATCTTTATTTTGATTTAAAGATCTCCTAAAATGCTAGTGAAACAAGTTGACTTATAATTAATTAGTGGTTGTATTTTAATACAAAGATGTCGAGTTTCAGTTGGTCTTTTTTTGACATTACAAAATTCTTAAAATTCACTGACTTTATATTTTGAAATTAGTTTCTTTTTTACCTAACATACTTCAGATACTGATGTACTTGATTTATTAAATGTAAAATATTACAATATGACATGTAAATGTAAAGTTGAATAATATATATTTTTCTGTAAGTGCAGGGTGGCCAAAATGTACGGATTGTTTTCTTTTTAACCCTAAAATTGTACGGATTGTACGGATTTGTTTTCAAATTGTTCGGATTGTACGGATTTTTATCCTGGAAAATACACCATTACCTGGATGAGTCAATTAAAATATATAAATGAGCCATTAAATAGTCCCAAGGAGCAAAAAAAAGTTCAAATAACTTAAAAATAGTTTTTTGCTCATTTGAACTATTTTTTGGCTCATTTAACTTTTTAATTAAAACTAGGTTTTGGTCAAATGAATTATTTTTATGTCCATAGTGAAATATTTGTAGATCATTAAAACTATTTTGTGATGGCCGTAATTAGTTCAAATGCGGATCCACCTTGTTTGAACATACCTAGAAATGTACACTGTAACATGTTTGTGTACCTGCCTAATTGCCGCTGATTATTTTGTAGCGGTATTTTGGAAATTTTTACCCCACGTTGTTTATTTTCTTCTGAAGTTCTGTAATCGGTCTTAGTGTTTGGAACTTTGGACGTGAGAAAACCTACTCAGTACTTACCCTACTTCTCATTTTGGTTAAGATACAGATCAAGAGTTGTAGAACCTGAGCTGAAAACTTAAAATGAGATATCCTTAATCCTGATCGCTAATCTGAATATCCAATGTACACACTTTTCAATTTATTCTTAATCCTCTTTTTTGGATATCCCCACTGTATAACAGTTACGTTTGATAACAATTACAGAAACAATGCTTTATCGATTGAATTAATATCCGATTGAACCAGTCAGCTGTTCACTAGCCGGCTTTTAGAGCATTTGAGAAGATATAAATTTAATCATGTTAATATTAACAGCTATTAAAAAATATATTTTATCACATGGGTCTGGGGTCTGTCCATTGTACATGGATCTTACAGAAAGTGTCTTCACTTAACCTAACCCGTGGCCGCATCGCTCGCCCCCCTAGCCTGTCCTAGCCGCACCGCTCGGCCCAAAAAGTGTCTTAATTAACCTATCCCGTGGCCGCAGCGCTCGGCCCAGATAGTGTCTTAACCTAATCTAACCCTAAATAATACCAAATTATTACTAATTTGGTCATGTACAAAAATGACAGGGGGGGGGGGTCCTAAAATCGTTCACTAGGACAGACCCTAGAACCAGTTAAACACAGGGTTCCTCACGAAGGATGAGACTGTAATGAAGACCTGAAAAAGACTAATCTTTGTGGGCAACCCTGTAGTAGCGTAACGAATGATGAAATCAGAAAGGCTAGTTTTATTTTATATCTCGTTTTCAGATGTGGGCCTGGGGCTAGAATACAATGGACTTGGTCTACACAACGTACAACCAGGGAGGAAGCAGGACGAATATCCCGGATTGGATCAGAGAGACGAACTCTCTGTGCAGTGTATCCTGTCAGAACCTGATTGTGTTTAGTTCTGCTCTTCCTCTTACTGAGAACAGACAAGGCCTGAACAGAATATATTGTGCAGATCTGAATTCTCCTTGGGATTCCAGGTACAATTTTTTCATGAGGCAAACTCTCTTATTAGAATAATATGTTTTTTTTTTAATACAGGCTACAGGGTCTCATCATAGGCTGAGACTTTCATGACGCTAAAATCCATTTTAATATGAAGTTGTGAACAAAGAACATTCTTAAGAAACTTATCCTTTCCCCACTCTTCATTTTTTACACCCCTGCATGGCTTTAAATTGTAATTTAGGTTCCTGAAACAAACCAAAAAAAAACATTATTAAGTCGGAATCTTCCACGTTTCTTTGGTTTGGATAAGTACCAAATTAAATCTTAAGTATTCTTTGTTATATTTGAGATGGATATTATCATATGACCCTTTATCTTAGTTTGGTATGTACCCTTCCATCTCCTGTATCCTGTCTGGCATGGAACGGCTCCGGATCCAAGTTTGCTGTTGGAGATTTCTCCGGTAACATCTCTGTCTGGAAGATATTGGACTTCTGCATCTCCGAGTGGGAAGAGGTTTATTCGTCCAAGCTGCCCCACGAGAGGATCGTCAATGCCGCGTTCCTATCCTCGTCTCGTGTTGTTCGTCTTAATCAATATAATAAAGATTCAATTCTCTACAATGAGAAGTTTGAATTCGGACCTCAGGTAACATGCTCTGGGGATAAATAAAAAAGAAGATATCAAAATTCAAAAGGCACGGTTTTCACCCTTTGTGTCAAAATTTCATTTATTTCCCTAAAAATCATTTACTCTTCTATTCTTAATTAAAAAACTAATATCAAGCTAGGAGTAAAAAAAAATTGTCTAGAAAATATACACATTCTTTTACACTCCTGTTTACAAGTTTTTAAGAAAGATTCTTTTTTATATTGTATGTTTAAATTAAGTTTCTGTAAAATGCTATTAAAGAAAATTTACATCTTACAGGCCGATGGTACTTTTGACAGCGAAGTTTGCCTTTTTACGACAAGCAGTGGTCTGTTGACAGCTGTGGTTCTGAATGACAGCACTGTCCACCTGACAACTTCGGCTTGTGTTGGTCGAAGTAGAAACTGTATCAAGTATGTGGATATATCAACCTTGAAAACTGGGGAGTTTCTGCTAGCAGCGTGTGGAGCTGAAACTCCTGTAACTATATATAGAATACTCTGCTCATTAACCCCTCAGGAGGGATTACAGATTCAGGTTCTTAACCATTCAAGCTTTAGTGTGACACAGAAAGGAGGGAATGAGAATGTACGAATATCATCTTTAAAGTTTGTTCTCGCAGACTCAAGTGATGCTATTGTAGTTGGTGTAGACGGACCGGACGGAGGGAAGGTTCGGATGTGGGAGTTGGAGTATTCTCAGTATTCATGTCATAAACTCTTTAGTCAATCCTCGTCTGCTCCTAAGCATAAGATTGTACCTACCTGGAGATACTGCTCCGAGTTCGGAGTGGGAGGATCTAAATTAGTTAGCCTGGCAACTCCTAGATCCTCCTTAGTAGGATGTGAGAGACCGTCCTGCTATGTTGTAGTTGGGTTTGCAGACGGATCTATCCAGTGTCTTATCCGGGATTCTCTCCAGCAGATATCTAGTGTAGAACTACCAAGAAACGGAAATATAAGTTTAGACAATACAAAGGTAGGATTCGTATTTAATATTTATTTTTATGGATTTCTGACTTCTTTTGCATAATAATTTTAGTTTTTTTTACGCTATGACTTTAGCCCATTCTGAAAACAAATTTCAAATTTCTCCCGTTTCTGTAAGTTATTGATCGTATAAAATGTCAAGTGTATCTCTGTGAATTTATTTCGGCGATACTTAAAAAATAACCCTGTTTAATCTGGTAAACGATCAACTTTTCATTATTTAGAACGATGCAGCGGTTGTTACGATATGTGATATGTGTTTTACATCCACTGGAACCTGTTTGGTAGTGACAGATAGCCTGGGTCAGCTCTACCTGTACAGAATGTCTCCTATAGCTGATCCCGGAGGACCCCATGTTGCTCCCTATCTGGTGACGATGTATGAGTATTGTCTGGTATCAGGACGGGACTGGTGGGATCTAGGTATAGCTGCAGCACAGACCAATATCCAGGATGTAACGGATAAACTAGAGTAAGTCCTTGTTCGTTCTTGAATTATATTTTATATATAGATATAAAGAATAGAACATAAATATAACCGGGGGAAGGGGGTGTACCCATGGTTCACTTTCTTTACAAATATGAAGGCAGTCTGGGCCGGGAGTTTCACTTTGTGTTCTTTTTCAGATTTACACTTAATTTGATTTCCAAATAAAATATTTGTATATAATATATAATAATAAGTTTCGTATACATTTTGCGAATAACGAACAAAAATTTATTTTGAGGGCAGAGGGATAGATAAAATAAAGAGAGCAATTGGCATCCAAAATATTTACTAAATTACACAAATTTGTCAGTAAATAAGAATTAGAAGTTAAACCTAAAATACAGTAAAATGCGTAAAACTTAGACAGTAAATTGCGTAAATCTAAAAGACAGTAAAAATGCATAAATCTAAAATACAGTAAAATGCGTAAATCTAAAATACAGTAAAATGCGTAAATCTAAAAGTCAATAAAAATGCGTATGAAACTTAACATTCCCGCTCATTTAATTTTTTCTCTATGATTTAGGGAGCTTATCATGAATGTAGTTAAAAAGTTTTGTGTATTCAAAAATTATTTAAGTACTTTTGAATTTAGAGAAACTTATTCGAAGCAACCTGTAGGAGTGAAGAACTTTTGCTACAACAGATATATGTCAATCAGAGCTTCTCTTTTCAGACTCTGTTCTCAGAGGTAATTGGTTTACATAATAGTAGTAGTTTTATTTTTCCTTTCGAATGTTAAAAAAGTTTGTAATCTTTGATTTTATGACTAAACAGAGTGTTGTAAGTAGTGGAGGGCAATAACTTGGTTCTGAGAAGTTTTTCACATTTCAAAATCGTTTATTTCAAAATCGTTTATTCTGAACATTTTCTTTTCTTTTAAACTATGCTAATTAACCTTTATAGAAAATATATACAGAAATGAACCATAAAAAGGGGTTTATGTTTTCTTCTAGGATAAAATTTTGCATTAGTTAATCAAAGTAAACTTTTACAGTTTTGAAATGTTCAAACCTTCATGTTTTTTATTTCAGCAATAGATACGAAGTTATAATGAGAGAATGTTTCTCTCCACTTTTTGCAAATGATATATATTAATGTTGATTTGCTTTTTTTGGTATTGAATAAAGTTGTTAAGAAGTTTTTGTGGGGCAATTTTAACCTTAAAAGTTTTAATAAACTAACAAAGCTGTAAGATCCGCAAAACGTTTTTAAAGAAGAAAATGTCTTGCATTGTTCTGTTTTCAATTTATTGTTATTATTATTATTAGCATTCAACCATCAGTCGATGTATTATCAAATATAGGTAGGGTTTCCAGTGAAAAGGGAAATCTTTACGCAAAAATTTTGTATTTTTTCACTTTGATTTCTCAGAGCAGAAATTAAAAAAAAAAATTGCACAATTAATTATTGCAGCTACAACTGGTTTACGCGGAATTTTATTTTTCGTTCGCTGGGAACCCTAACTAGGTTATGTGAGCTCTATTGCCGAGAGCCAGTAATCCATCTTAAATAAGAAGAGCGTTTTTCATTTTAAGTCAGTACCGAGCTGCAGATACTCTTTCCATCATGATGCTGAGATCTATCTACGGAGATCTGAGCTCCTTGCTTACAGTGGATGGAGGGTACTCGGAGCAGGATCCTGCGGAAAAACTCACAAATATTCTCCGAAACTATCCTAGCTCCGCAGATCTCAATTCAGTGGTTTCTTCATTATTAACAAACGGTAAAATCTCTTAAAATCTGTTTGCGCACCAAATTTACAATTTTGGAGAATCTAGTCATTCCGCAATTTTGTATTAGATTTTTTCGTCTTCTTGATAATTATTTTATAGTTTTTTTTCTTTCTAAATTCGTGTTTTCAAAATAAATTTATTGGATAAAAAATAAATTTTTCAGGATTTTCTCGTGAGGTTCCAACCAGTATAGAAGGTACCCAGACCCTGCACCAGCTTGGATCTTGGGTTCTGATCCTCGCTCTTCATCTTTTATCCGCGGTCCCAGAGTTTAAAACTAGGTAGGGGCTTAATACCAAAGGGTTTTGTAAACTTTTGACTGTGACGTACTTACACGTTTTATCAAATCAATAACAAAGATTGTAAACAAAGGGTTATTTACCTTAAACCAACTTCTCATTAGTTCTAATACGTATCAGTAAACGGTACACAAATCCTATCTATCCATCTGAAGATTACACTCCTAGCAAGATATTAGCTCTAAATTATCCGTGCTTCCAGAGTACAAAACTAGATAAGTGCTTAATACTACCATAATATCATATGTTTGCCTAAAGATACAACTTTTTTTCTTATTTAACGTAAAACGTGATCACATAAGATCAGAAGTTTAATTACAATCAATAAGTTTTAACGAATTCTTTTAAAGGCGTGGTCCTGGATACTGGTTGATGCTGGAGGGCGGAGTAAGTTTAATCCGTGATATTCTTGTTATGACCAGGCTCTGGGGTCTACCTAGAGCAGGGTTTATAACCAGGGAGAAGGATCTGGACCTCAATTCGAAACTGTTCTCTATGATCTCTAAACTAAAGGATAATCCTGAAGATGAAGGATTACTGGATGAATGTTTAATCCTTCCCTCCTTGGTAAGCAGTTAAATTTTTAAAAAAAAATATAGTTTGTTGATCGAGATAAAAAGGAAAAATCTTTCAGGTGATAGTTCCTGAACTTGATGTGATGGTTTCTCCCCACGGAGTTCTTGCTGGTTTACAGACAGGGATGAATTTACCACTATTCTTCCAGTTCGGAGTTGAACCTAACCTAACCCTGCCTCCTCAACCCATATTCCTGGAGGGACTACCCTACACCGAGGAGAGTAGTTCTAACAACGTGTATGATTCTGTGAATAAAATATCCCTGGGACGGAATCCTCTTGAGCTCCGAGCTTGTAATAGATGTAGATCATATACTCAGGTTTGATTTGGTTATTTTAAGGATTTTTTTTATTCAATCTGGAGTGCAATAGTTTTAAAGGTATTATTCGCTGAATTTAGGGAAATTTAAGTATTTTTAGGGGAAAATAGATGTATTTTTGGGTAGAAAGTGTCAAAAAGGCCTTTGATGTCAACATACATTTTTCCCCACAGCGCATTGATACTCGGATAATCCATGAAAATATAAACCCTTATTTTTAAAGTGCAAACTTGGTAGAAAAATATCTTTATAATTTCTTACCTCTAAATCTTTGAACATTTAATCCACATTCTGGGCGAAATTTTCGACGATTGGATTTATCTTGGGAAAACTAAATCTTCCCGAAGTCATGATCACGAAATATTTACAATTTTTTTCCGCATAATTATTATTAAGTTATTAATGCTGAATCTGTATATCAGGTTGTACCTGTGAGTACCGGGGGGTGGAGTTGGGAGAAACGATTGAACCGTTGCTGCTGCTGTGGAGGTTCCTGGAGAACTGTCAAGAATGAATGAATAAAGTAGAGCGTTATCCTAAGGATTGTCTCCATAATCTTCAAGGGACTGTCTTCGTAATTTCAAGTGACCTTCCATTGCAATTCCGATTTAATCTGACTGCTTAAAGGGTCCGAGTATAAATAACGATTATTAGATGAAAATTGATAATTTTCTATCGTGATTTTTCTATAAAAGTGATCTGCGGATTTATGCAGCACGGACAAAAGAAGAAAATTTACCGAATTTATCATGTTTTAAGATAGAAAAGTGACAATATCTTGTCTTGAAAGTATAATTTCTTTATTTATATTTAAAATTAATATTTACAAAAGCGTATTTTTATATTATTATTTTTTACTTGTGATGCCACTTTAAATATTTATTGAAAAAGCAAATTAGAACATCCAAACCTTCAACAATTCCGAACTACAGTTTATTTGTGATAAGAGGGTCGAGAATATGATATTGTACTCGTTAATTTCAAACCAAAAGTTTACAAAGAATCTTTGTTAGAGTAGTAGTCCCCGTATTTTGATTGTAAAAATGATTTAAATATTATAATTATATTGTCTGTAAACATGTTACATGTATGTATTATATTTACAATTAATATTGTTCCAGAGAGAGATGAATCTGTTGCCACGGAACCACCAGGAGTTCCAGCAGAAGGAGTACTGGGACACCTTCTTCAAGAAGCGCGGGAAACGCGCGTTTGAATGGTATGGAGAGTATCATGAACTGTGTGGTATCCTGCATAAATATATTAAACCTGGAGATGCAGTTCTTCAGGTTGGATGTGGAAACTCAACTCTAGCAGCTGATCTTTATGATGTTGGACACAGGTATGCTCTTTGCTCATTGCATCATTTACTGATTCTCTAAACTGCATTTTTTACTTTCCTATATTTTTTTGGTAAATAGCTTAGGAACCCAGCGTTCCACAGATACTCATTACTCATAGTTAATTTTCCCTTTAAAAGTAGACTAGCTCAACTTAAAACCTCCAAACCAAGCTGGGAACATTCCCTTAGCTCTCCTGAGTTCTCTCATTTAAATTTGAGACAAAGTGATCCAGGGGTTTCTGAGTTATGATCGGACTAGTAAACAAACAAACAATCAGAGATTACAACTTTTTATATATATAGATGTNAGCCAATAGGTTAAAGGACAAGATATCTAAATGTAATTCAATGCTACATTACAAAAACTCATTTTCTGTTTTTAGGAATATAACGTCAATAGATGTCTCTGACGTTGTTATTCGTCAGATGTCTGAGCTGAACAAGGGTAGACCCGACCTTATCTTTGCCAAGATGGACGCTACTGAGATGGAGTTCCAGGAGAACCAGTTTTCAGTAGTCCTGGACAAGGGGACCCTGGACGCACTCTTCACAGATGATTCCCCTGACGTTGTCTCCAAAATTGAGAAAATGTTCAGGTTAGAGCCAATATCTGATGAACTTTCTCAAATCTTACAGATTTAGTTTTGACCATTTATTATTGTGTTATTATTTTCAGTGAGATCGGCCGTGTATTGAAGGTTGGAGGACGTTATGTTTGTGTGTCCCTGCTCCAGCCTCATATTATCAGCCATGTATCCGCCTGGTTTGTCGAGGCCGGGTGGCCGGTTCGGATTATACGTTGCAATGAGGCGGAGCAAAATAAACCTCCGGCGGAGAGAATCTTTCCCGTCTTTGTGATGGTTTGTACGAAATTTAAAAAAATGGCGGCAATGAAACCGGTTCTTGAATTAAGTTTATCAACTGACGGAAAACTGACAAGGTTGGATAAACCGGAAAGTCTAGTGGAGAGTGTCCGAGGTTGCCAACAGTTCTCAGCTCTCAGAGCTAGATTAGCCAAGGGCGGGGACCGGTCTATTGAGGAGGCGTGTCTTCAACTTAGATCACAAGAATCAGTTCATGCTAAATATTCGCTATATCTAACGGAACGTGAGAAAACTAGCAAAATGCCATTTTCCGCGTTTATAGTTCCACAAGGAAGAGAGGTAGAATGGATGTTTGCTACAGCAGAGGGTCGGAGACAACTATGTGACTCAGCTGACTGTCAGAGAATGATTGTAGTCCATCTTGGTCGGGACGCAAGCTTCTCCACGATAGAGCAGATACAGACAGAACTGTCTCCGCATATTTTCGAGTTCTGTCCTTCAGATCTTCCGCCTGGATACAAGGTTCCATTTCTCTCTGCTGGAGCGGAGAATGTTGGATCTAGAACGGAACGGTGTCGTGGGAGATCCCAACTATCCGGGGATTATGTTGTAGAGGATGTAGAGGTTGGAACCTCGGTGTACCGTCGACTAATATTCCTCAACAGACCATATCTTACACAGTCAGAAGCTGTTCTTGTCTCGAGGAAAAACAAGAACAAGAAAATGATTAAAGTTGTTGATATCACCGATCTTGCTTCAACCTACCACACACTAATGATCGGGGCCCTTGGTCTATACCTGAGCAAACCAGTGACAATATTATTAGTCGGTCTTGGTGGGGGTTCACTTCCATCGTACATTCATCATACTTTTCCTCTTTCCAACATTCATGCAGTGGAGTTAGATCCTTCCATCCTTGATATTGCAACTCAACAGTTTGGTTTCAAGAGTGACTCCAGGCTTACTGTTAGTATACAAGACGGGATACAGTATATAAATGAAACTTCAAGGAAGTATTCTGTGATAATGTTTGATGTTGACAGTAAGGACGTGAGTAGTGGAATGTCCTGTCCTCCTCCGGGGTTTGTGGATCCACAGTTCCTGGTTCGAATCTCCGAGTGTCTCGAACTTGACGGGATGTTTGTCCTTAACCTTGTGTGTCGGGATATAACCCTGAGAAAGGAACTGATTGGTAACCTATCCACAGTCTGGAATACCGTTGTATCCTGTAAACTAGAGGAGGAAGTTAACGAGATTATATTTGCCTCCTCCAGTGATAAAACGAACAGATCTCAGATCACTAAAAGTTTAGGAAATGGTTTTAAACTTGTCAACGAACATGTGAGAAAAGTGACCAAAACAAAAGAAGACTTGATCGATGTTGCGTCTAGTTTAAAAATGCTAAGTTTAAACAAATAAATTTATTATATTTCAGAAAAGATGTATCTGATGTACTATCTCAACCAGGAGGGAAACAGGGTTTACACACTCAGCAAGGTAAAACAAATTTAATTATTAGTATTGATTTGATATTCATATAAAATTCGGGGCCCTGTTCCATAATCAATTTTTTTTTCAAAATAAATATTTAAAAAACATTCTTTAGACGGATCCTGAGGGAAAACCGACCTTCAGTGCTCACCCTGCCAGGTTCTCCCCCGAGGACAAGTACTCAAGGGAGAGGCTTGCTATGAAGAAGAGGTTTAACCTTCTCCCAACCCAGCAAGCAGCTGTCACCTACTAAATTTTCATGTTTTTATCTCGTAATTTTTTCAGATGTAAAATGCGATGGGAGAATCGGACGTCAATGATTTGTTCGACTCCATCACTTTTTCCGAGGCTCGGTTAGTCGACTCTGGGTACCAAGAAGGATACAAGCAAGGTTCACTGGAAGGAGATCAGGAAGGATTCCACCTTGGCTTTCAGAAGGGAAGTGAGCTCGGGCAGGAAATTGGGTTTTATCAAGGTTTTGTGGAGGGGTGGGTTCATGAGTTGAATCTCAAAGAGAAAAAGCCGGAGAGGGTTTTGAACCAGTTGGAGAAATTAAATAACTTGTTGGATAGGTTTCCAACCTGCAATAAGAAAGATAATGATATAGAGGAAATTATCAGAGAAATCAGGGCTAAGTTTAAAACCGTCTGTTCCATGCTAAAAGTGAGCTCTCAGTTCGAATCCCAAGATATCTCTTGGTAGACGTTGCCTAAAAAATCCGAAAAAATGAACTTTGCAATTGAACATTTGGGTAGGGCGGGGGAAAGAGCCGGGAACCTTGAACTCAAAACAAAATTATTTTCAACTCCGTTCCCTCTCCTAACCACCAAGGGCGGATCAGTCCCTCATCTAACCCGAGAGACCCTGGCGTACTTGAACCTACCGGAGACAGCGGTCCTGCTTCCATATGCAAACCATGCAACACAGACGGATATTCTTCAACAATTCAAGAAAGGTCGAATAATTCTTTAGTTTTTCTTTTTTTTTATCGTTTTTTTTTTAAAGTACATTGAAATATGTATCAATAAAAATCATAGTTCAAATCAATTTACAGAATGGAAAGATATTGAAAATTGACCAATTTTCGTCTATAACTTCCCCAATTCTAAATATTTTTAAAACATTTTTCGCTTTAGTAATATCTAATTAATTATAAATCTAGGCTTGGGAAGGTTTGTAGGTCTAGGAGAAAGTCTGGTAGTAATGACGGTTCAAGATCCTGGTTCTGAGACTAGAACTGGATATCATGGTGCTAAGAATATATCCGTCTGGAACAATTGCAACAGGGAAATATCAAAATGAAAATTAAAATGGCAGCGATTTTAAAATATACTGAAAAGGTGGAATAGCAATAAAAGGAAAAATTGGCCCCCCCCCCCTTTAGAAACCTTTTAAACAAAAAAATATTTTACCAAAAATAATTTTCTATTATTATTTACTGACTTAAATGCTGGCAAAATGCATACAAGAATTTTTTAGTTTGGTCTGGAATGATTTTTTAAGTATTTTATTTTGATGGATTTTTATTCAGAGAAATTATTACTCCGGGTCGGTTCATGGAGTTTACAGGTTTAGCTAAACCGGATCTCTGGGTTCCTCTGTGTGATGGGGATACCCCGGAAGGTTCCTCAAACAAGAGGATAAGTAAGGTAGATAAATTTTTTTATTCAATTTGTCAAAGAAAAAATTTTGAAATTTTCTTATATATCTGGGACGGNTTGTCGGCCATAATATCTTCCTTTTTTCAAAGTTTTCCCGAACTATCATTTTTGAGATCAAAAAACTCTGTATTCTGAGTAGGGGGGGTGGTAGATGGATTTTCCGTAGAATACATACAATTTTTTCTGTTAAGTTAAAATCTACTTTCTTTCTATTACCAGGCTGTGAAAAAGTCCCTTGAATTCCTGGATACGTGTCTAGAACTCAAGGATGAATATCCTGAGCTGAAAGACTCCTTTATCCTCGCTGCAGTGGAAGGTGGGACGGATTTAGCAGCAAGAAAATTCTCCGCTACACAAACAAGAACCAGGCCTGTTCATGGATTTCTCCTGGACGGGTTTCATAATAACGGAGAAAAAGCAGAGATGACATCTTGGGACGCAATTAAAGAAGCCTTTGTTGAGACCGTTGATAACTTACCCAAGGAGAAACCTAGATTTTACTTTGGTCCGGCACCTCCTGACCTAGTCTTCAACTTGCTCGCCAGCGGAGTCGATGTTTTTGACTCATCCTATCCTAACCTTGTTACAGAGAGAGAACATGCCTTGATATTTCCTAACATCTTCAAGAAAGATTTAGTTCCGGAGAAGGGAATTTTGAAACCGGAGAGGAGTAGGTTTGAGTTGGGTTTAAACGGAGAAGAGATGAAACTTGACATGTCTCCTCTAGTTGCTGACTGCTCCTGCTATACATGCAGAAACTTTACCAGAGCTTACATCAACCATCTTATCCTTGTGAAGGAGATGTTGGCAAAGGTTCTTCTTAATCTTCACAATCTTCATCATTATCAAACCTTCTTTAAATCTCTCCGAAGCGCAGTTACTGCCGACCAAGTAGAGAACTTTAAGTTATCCGTTCTTCAGTAAATAAACTTATTATTTCTTGCATTTGTGATTTATACTTGGTTTAATAAATATTTTCTAGTTTCCATACTTCAGTTTCACTTTCAGATGTAGAATGGACGCGGAGACAGCTTACAATGATTTGTTAAATAAATACGCAAAATTAGATCTCTTCCCTGTTGCAAGCTTCCAAACCTTGAAATCTGATGCTCTGAAGATAGCATGGGAAATCTTAATTTTAGTTCATTTTCTAGTTTTCTACTAGAATTATTTCATATTCTTCTGAATATATTTCTCCAATAATATTGACACTTGTCAGTAAAAGACTAAGAAATGAAAAGTTGATAAAATCCATATTTAATATGGGCGGCATTTGTTAATTCTAAGTCTATTAATAAGTAATGTAAGTGGTAGGGAATTATAATGCGAATTATGGTTTGGTTATCGTGGAGGAACGGGGTCATGAATTTTACAAGTTTTTTTTTAACAAATTTTAACTACAGAGCTCGATATATTTGTTTCCGATTCTTTATAGAAAATTTTGTTGAGACCTTTTGTTGTTTATTTTTTACTAAAAGATGCCGTGTCACCACGTTTGGGCGACATATTCGATTTCAATTTAATTGGTTTTGAAGGGGAAGGCGTTCAGTAACCAGTTTTAGAAATTCACTAAACTAAGATTTATCTTTAGTCATAGTATTGACTTTTCCGGATTAGTAAAAGAACTGGAGAGCTGGGAAGAGGTAGACCCGGTGACCTTGTCCGATCTGATAAACTTGAAACTATCCTGCTCCCATGAATTTAAGGGGTTCAGTGTACAGGATGTTCTAGAATCCCTGATTCAACAAGCTGTAGAGAAATATGTGTCCACCAGGGATACGTCTGGGTTGGATAAGGTTGGAAAATTGTTATCCAACCTGGATCTCAGCGGAGTCTTGAACCGTGAGGATCTTGAGTTTGAATATCCTCTCGTTTCTCCGTCCGTATCCTTATCCCTGCACAAAGTGGGATTGATAGATCTCGGATCCCAGCTGGATATTAGTTGGAAGAACGCGGAAAAGGATGTCAAGGGTTTCCTTGCTGCCTATGTTGATGAGGTTGCTGGTGGATTAGGACGGGAGATTACAGAACTCCTGGTCAAGGTTGGATTTAACAAGCAAGAGGATCAGATGAGAAAGAAGAGAGCGAATATTTTACTGGAGAAAATGTTAACTAAAGTAATAGGTTTGTTTTTCTCTCAATAATTCTTTTAAAAGCATCAGGATGCCAATTATTTTGATCTTACTTTAGACAGGATCAGGAATGGAGAGTCTATAGATCTGGGATGGATGGGACGCATGAAACTTTCAGATTCAATAGGCCAGGACTGGAAACTTCACGCTCTCAGGGGTGGATGTTAAAGCTAAATTAAAAGAAATCGTTATTAATGAACAATAGGTTCATAGCGTTACCAAAAATCAGGTTTCTATTTAGAATCAAAGTTTCACTATCCAGATTTAAACGGATAAAAAAATCAATGGTATGGTCCCAACCTGGTTATAGCTGAGAAAAACTACTATGGGTTATTATTTATTTATAAAGATCATTTAATTAACATCCTTGATTTAGCCTGGTGATGAGACATAGACCTGATATGAAGATACGGGACGCATTCAGTTCACATCAAACCCTGAGATCTAATATATCTCGGGTTCACGGAGTCGGAAGTTTATGTTTCGGTCTCCTGGCTGGAGAACTTGTATCCGCGAACCAGATTTCCAGTCTAATCTCTAGGATACTCTCCAGGGCTGAGGTGAACTGGGACGCATTGTTAACAGTAGTCACAGTTTCCCTCCAAGCTCTCTCCAGGATGGATCAAGAGCTGAGCAACTGTTTACGTAACCTAATTTGTGAGTCCTTGAGTACCCAGAGCAGTGAAGCGTTCCTGGCAGGATTACTTGTATCTAGGCACGCCTGTCTGGAGGAATCTCCTGAGTTTTCGTCCTATTCCTCCTGGTTCTTTAAACTATTCTGCGGAGAAGGTTCACTTCTCTCCAGTCCTTCTCAAGTCGAGTTCTTCTATAAAGTGCTGACAGGATTAGTCCCGGAAGAACCTGAGTTTGCTCTTAGAGCTCAGTTGTCCAACCAACCTAGAATTCCACCCAACCTGAAGTATTTATCCGAGGAATATCGTCAGCTTGCTCGAACCCAACTCCTAGATGGAACCAGAGAGCCGGGGTATAAAGTTCCGGATCTGCTTGGACCCGGAGTAATAAAGCTTGCAAAAGGAAAATATTTTGATTTTTCATCTTTCATAATACATAAATTAATTCTCTTATTGTTATTTCAAGATGAAAATTAACCATGATACGACATATATTATACAATGCATCATATGAGTGTTTCAGATAATCATTAAAGTCTCTGTTGTTAACCTTGTAAGTCAGTCAGTTGATAGCTTTGACTTTAGCAGGTTTAGGGAGGAATAATCATTGAGAAGAAGCAACTTAGAAACTGTCTCTTTGAAACTATTCGTTTTCCCTTCGGGATATTGAAAACAACGAGTACAAATCGTAAGACCTCACTTCATTATTGATTTAGTTTAGTCACTTCAATTTTGGTGTGTGGGTGTATGACATCCCTAAAAGCCTGATTTGATTTGATTTGACTTCATTCAAACATTTTATCGATTTATTGATGTATGGTTAAGCAATAAAAATATTCTGATCCAGATCTTGTTCTCGAATGGAGTAGGACGGAGAAAATACCCGGACAGATCCTAGAAGCTAGCATGTTCAAGTTAGTAGTTTTATAGTAGTTTTATCATAGATCAACTTATGAACTCCTTTTGCCGATTTGCCTCAAATTTTTATTGGGAAATTCGGTAGAAGCAAGGAAATGTTCTAAGCTTGGTTGAGAAGTTGAGAAGTTTGACTTTATATGAATTTAGTTTCCAGTCTAAGGGCTGTTCCCAAGCTATTTGTTTATATAGTAAGTGTAATGCAATGATGAAACTTCAAAGAGACCCGACCTTAAATACCGCGATCTGAAGGTTTAATTTGTCAAAAGTTTAAAATCCTCCTCTTTCAGGCAACCTTTCTATATTCATCAGCTTCTCCCGGCAATCATGGTTTCAAGTGCTCCGGGTTCAATCTTGTACACAGCTCAGGGTTCTCTGCTAGAGGCTCTCAACTCGAAGGGCAAGGTTCCATCTCATCTCTACCGAGAATATTTGGTTGGGGAAATACAGGAGAAGTTCTGTCCTGAAGAATCGATTAACAATTTGTCCAGTCAAGAGAGGTGAATATCATGAGATAGTTTTTTAAGACGCTGTGTCTCATTAAATAAAATAACTTTTTCTTTTTGAATGACTTGAATTCAGGCTAGACGGGCTATGGAAACATTTCCAGTCCTACTTCCAAGACATTTTAATTATCTCACAATTTGTTTTAAAAAGTAATCGCTTTAATTTTCATATTATAAATTCATTTATTAATACTTCAGTGGGGTGAGTTTAGAGAACCTGAGAGAAAACTTCAAGGTTTTGGAAAATCTCCCTCTGGATTTTCAAGAGGAGATTGAAACCTGTATCTCCAGTATCAAAAACATTACAGCTAAACTCATATCATGGAAAAAGTGTAAACTGAACCTATCTACTATTATGAACCTTGAGCTCAATGAACCTTCAAATCAGGTTTGGAAACTGTACAGTCGGAGCTTGAGTACTTTACCCCATCCGGAGATTAGAAAAATACTTCTAGGTTTAATCTTGGATAAGATTGAGCTGGTTCTCCTCTCCCTGAGGTATATCCTAGTAGAGAGAATTGAAATTGAGGATTTACCGCTCTGCGGAGAAATCCTGAAAGCTAATCCCAAACTAGAACTTACTCCTGGAGAATCAATTCTTCTCCAAGATTATTTCTGTTCCCATCACCATGAGATTGATACAATGAGAAAGCTTGATCAAGTTCTCCTGTTACTACAAGGTTCTGAATCTGTATCTCCCAGCTGGACTGGGACCATAAAGCTTGCCGGGTTCAGGGATTGGATAAAAACCATGAACTCCGTTCAGCAGCACAAATTAACACTCACCGAATTCTCACATGCTCTGCGGGTTCAACTGCATTTAAAAGACGATAGTTCTACTAAAGCTGAGAAATTAATCTTATTTCGGAAACTACTAGAGAATGTACCCGGAGAAGATGAAAAGATATCTGTTGCTTTAAAACAATCCTTCTCCGAGAATTCGATAGAAGAACAGGTTTTGTGTCTACTTAAAGTACTCAGGTGAATCATTAAAAAAAATTCATTAATTAATTTTGCAAACTTGTCAAGTATAAAAAAGGATTTCTATTAGATATTTTCCAACTAAAAAGAGATATTCAGAAAAGAAAGTATAGAGATAGATAAAATTGACAGAAACGAAAAAATAATTGTTATTTTACGTCAACCACAAACACAAATCTTAATTTATTAAAATTCGACTTTTTTGTTAAATTAAGTAAGCATATTAGAGTTAACGATTTTTGCAACAACAAAAATGTAGCCCTGGCAAAATCTCGACACATCATTTGTTTTGTTTATCATTACTATTAGTTGTATAATGTATTGTATATGTTAAAAAACATTTATTTATATAATGTAATAACAGTTTGCCAAATATATATAATTTTGATCTGATTTGTTTAGAGATTTGAACCCGGAGTTAGTCTTCAAGTTCTCAGGAGACGAGGTTAGGACGAGTAAACAGGCTCTCCTTCTCCTACAAGAATTCGAGCAGGGTCACGCGACTAAATTTCTAGAATATGTTCTTCCTCTGGCAGAGAGATCACGTGAGACCCACCAGCTCCTAGTTCCTCTCCCTGCCCTCCTGGTTCTGGTTCACATCGATACTCGACAACTTACTCCGGGTCTTAGATTTAGTCTGGCGTTCTACGATGCTTTAGGGATGGAAAACAAATTTAATCTAAAATAAAATTACATGTGGTTTGAAACTTAGAGTGTTCTAATTTTTCTGATTCATATTTTTAAGTCAATGAGACCCTGATAAAAATAAGAAGTAAAGCTTGGCTAAGTTTCGATTCTTAAGAACCGCTATTATAAAAAAAATACATTTGAAAGATGGTTCCAAACTGATCAGAAATTGTAAGGAGCAGCCGAAGCTTATACCTGGAGCAGGAGTACAGCTCTGTGTATTCCTGGTGTAGAAGCTCCGGGTTGGAGACTGCATCCGGGGTATCCGGACAGATTAAGGTCAAGGTTTTAAGCAAAAAACTCAATCATAAATAAATGCAAAATTCACACCAAAGTATGAATGGTTTATGTCATATCTGAACATACATTGAAATTCTGATGTTTAACCCCTTCCCCCCCCCACACACAAAAAAATATGATTTTGTTTAATTAATTTAATATTTGTATATCTTCTCCAGGTTGGATTGCTCCGTCTTGCTGAGTTGTATCTCCAGGATGAATTTAAACTGGACTCCAAACAAAACAAACCTAACTCTATTCTAACCAAGCTTGAGAGACTAGCCAAATCTATGTCAGAACAAGGTACTTTTCTCATTTCTGTACATTTCTTAACTTACATTAAAGATGTTTTACAGAAAATATTGTCAATGATAATAAAAATAACCATTCAACCTTCATGCCCTGGATATCAAGGTTCAGTTTTATCACCATGGATATCAGGGTTTAGTTTCATCACCCTGGATGGCTATTCATATTTAGAAAACACACAAAAAGACGAAGAAACATGTATTTTGTGCGAGTTAAATCGAAGTCTTATATTAATTTCAAAACTGGAATCCATCTATAAAATAATTAATCATACAGGGGTTATCCAATCCATATATCATGAGATTTTCATTCATGGTTTCCAATCCCTGCAGCTGCAAATTTGCTTCTCTCTCCCCCAAATCATTAAGCAAACAGTTAAGAAAATATTCACTGCAATTACAGCTTAAAGATCCTGATATTTTAGCCTACAGATCCTGATATTTCAGCCTAAAGATCCTGATATTTCAGCCTACAGATCCTGATATTTCAGCCTATAAATCCTGATATTTCCGCCAACAGATCCTGATATTTCAGCCAACAGATCCTGATATATCAGCCAACAGATCCTGATATTTCAGCCTAAAGATCCTGATATTTCAGCCTACAGATCCTGATATTTCAACCAACAGATCCTGATATTTCAGCCTAAAGATCCTGATATTTCAGCCTACAGATCCTGATATTTCAGCCTATAAATCCTGATATTTCAGCCAACAGATCCTGATATTTCAGCCTATAAATCCTGATATTTCACCCAACAGATCCTGATATTTCAGCCTATAGATCCTGATATTTCAGCCAACAGATCCTGATATTTCAGCCTACAGATCCTGATATTTCAGCCTACAGATCCTGATATTTCAGCCTACAGATCCTGATATTTCAGCCTACAGATCCTGATATTGAAAGAGTAATAGATCTCCATAAAAGTCTCATACCTGTAAACCACATTGATAGATTTTTAAATTATGAGAATCCGCAATATTTCATTATTTCAAATGAAAATTTCCTCCTGATCAAGAAAACGCATATTTTAAGTATAGATATCTGTTTTGTTTAATATTTGTGGTTTAGATGAGAGAAGTTTATGTTCTCCTGTAGAAACATGGTTTCCTGGAGCAGTATCTTCAAACCTGGCAGCAACTGTTCAGGAATAGAAATTTTTATCCCATTTTTACAACAACAAAGATGGAATTATACCCCCCCCCCCTCATGTATAAAATATTCCTTAAAATTGGATTTAAAATGACTGTTTAAAGGTTGTAATGAGCGCAGTATTTCTGCAAGATCTCCAGTCTTCCCTCCGGTTCCTTCTCACTGGAATCCTTCCCATCCTCTCCACTATAGCCATCTCCAGTGCCCTAGGGGTCCTGGAGACGGGATTTCTCAACCAAGCTTTATTTAAGAAATTACAAAACTTCTCTCCGACGGAACTTGACTCTGTCCTACGGCTAGTGAATAGACGGGAAATTGATCCTGATATTCTAGATATTTTAAATCAAACCTTGTATCCGGGAAGCGGAGAGAAACCTAGAAAAAAAATTAAATTGTCATATTTAAACTGTTAAAAACTGCTATTTAATATATATACATGTTAATTTTGGAACCTTTTCTGTGAAAATCCACTAGTGTTGTTCGAATTACCTAGTTCCGATGGAAGACGCGCCAAAAATTTCAAATTGCGTCTGGAATGGTCACGTGATCACTGCCTAGGGCTGTTTAACAATGGCGTCTGTCTAGGTTAATGTACATTCTCTTTCGCCGTAAAGCTTGCCGCGCCCACTATACGCACAATTTTATATATTTACGACTTATCATCGTATTAATCATTTAACCAGGTTCCCAGGCTTGTAATTTAGTATCAGGGTCTTAGAACAATAAGTTAAAGAAACAGTCTCAATTTAAACTCAGAACGGAGAAATCGTGTTTGTTTTGACATGTATCATGTTTACAATAACAAGTGAAATGTTTATAGTTTCTAGAACTGTTTGTTTTTATCGGAATTATTTCAGATTATCTATGAACCTGGAGGAATAAATATTGTCGTGAGAACTGGAAAGATTGTAAGAAGAACGAGCCGTGAAATGGTCCAGGTTGAGAATTCTAAACCTAGTCCAGTGATATCTACCGGAGTTGGCTCCGTAATACCAACCGGTTAAGCATCGTCATGGACCGTTTATCCAGCAAATTTAAACTCGTCCGATCACAATCCATTGGTGTCGGGATGGGGGGAGAAGCGAAAGTAGTGAATCGTCCCGACGGACGGACAGCCCAAATCGTCCTTTTGGACGAACGTCGACTAGAGTTGACGATACAGACGAGGTTGTATGCCGGCGAATTGCTCGATATGGTCGCCACCCAGTCCGGGTTGAAAGAGAAGGAGTATTTTGGTCTAGCAGTAGTTGATGATGCTGGACACTATACCTGGCTACAGCTAGATAGGAAAGTGCTTGATCACGACCTCCCACGCAAACCTCAGATCCTCACCGTTCATTTCCTCGTCAAATTTTTCATAGGTAAAATAGTCTTTGAATGGGATCCAGTCAGAGAGTNACGTAATGAAAATCAATGTCTGCATAGTTGGATAGTATTTTTGGTTTAATTTCATTATTGTGCTCCAAGTAACTACAAACTGTATCAAACATAAAAATGGAAATTGTGTTAGAAAGGATTCGTAATCGTGTTATGTAAGAAAATCTCAGCTTTTTATTCGTTTTATTTTTTTTAATGCTAAAGAGTGCCCTGTAAGAACAACAAACAGGGGTTACCCACAAAGGATGAGACTGTAATAACGACCTGAAACTCTTGAAATATTACTATCCTAAGGTATTCCATATTAATAGCTTATTAAATGATTTAGCAAAGAAAGAAACAAGTTTACAGTCGCAGGGAGTCATTAAGATAAGGAAACAGACTTTATAAATTCCATACAGTCTTCGCCTCTGAAATCTCATTCTTTGTGGGTAACCATGTAGTTCCAATCTATTAAAGTTCTGAAAGTTCTTTCATCTTAACCGATTTAAGAGTTTCAACTTTTTAAAGTATTGTTTATTTCTAATTTTCAGAATCAATTTCTCACCTGGCGGATAATCAAACTGTAGAACTATTCTACCTCCAGGCCCGTAGTTTAATCTGGAGAGGTTTACTCGAGGTAGAGAGTGATGTAGTTTTTCAACTAGCAGCGCTCGGACTCCAGGCTGCACACGGAGACTACCTAGATGAAGGAACAACGAGAAACCTTCTTAAGAAAAATACTCTACTCCCGACCTATGTACTGAAAGAACAACCGTCCAATGTATATTGTGAGGATCAGGTTATAGAACACTACAAGAAAACCAACGGACAAACCAGAGGTCAAGCTCTGGTCAACTATATGACTATTGTAGAATCTATGCCAACCTACGGTGTTCATTATTTTGAAGTATATGACAAGAGATCCTCCCCCTGGTGGATCGGTCTATCTTGTAAAGGAATTGCTCAATATAAACATAATGATAGAAAAGTGCCTGTACGAGTGTTTCAGTGGAAACAACTTGAGAATTTGTATTTCCGTGACAAGAAGTTTTCTATTGAGGTTCACGACGCTAAGCGTGTGGTCCAAACCTTGTCTTCCTTTAACCTTTACGAGGATGCATTAAAGATGGAGACCTCCAGTGCCAACGATGAACTTGTAGATGCTATTTCAGACTCAACTACTCAGGTGGGTTTAATGAGGGTAGTAACATTAGGTCGGAGGAAAGATTGAAGATAAGACGGTAGAACATTAGGACAGTAGGACTTGGTATCATCAGGACAGTGAGAAGAGAGGATGTAAGGTTTGTAGATCAGGACGGCTCGATCGGAAAACATTAGGACGGTAGGACTGGAAAACATTAGGACGGTACGACTGGAGAACATAGGACTGTATGACTGAGAAACTTGGGACGGTAGGACTGGAGAACATTAGTACAGTAGGACTGGAGAACATTAGAACTGTATAATATTTGGATGGTAGGAATGTAAAGCATTAGGACAGAAAACGGTAGGAATGTATTACGACGGTACCAGGATAGGAATGTAGAATATTAGGACTGAAGCAGGGTAGGAATGTAGAATATTAGGACTGTAGCAGGATAGGAATGTAGAATATTAGGACTGTAGCAGGTATTTGGATGGTAGGAATGTAAAGCATTAGGACAGAAAACGGTAGGAATGTATTAGGACTGTAGCAGGATAGGAATGTAGAATATTAGGACTGTAGCAGGGTAGGAATGTAGAATATTAGGACTGAAGCAGGGTAGGAATGTAGAGATTAGGACGATAAAACGGTATCAACGTAGAGCATTACGATGGTAAAACGGTAGGATATTAGAGAATCAGAACGGTAAGAATGTATATCATTAAAAGGATATAATGGTAGGAAAGCAGAGCATTAAGACTGTAGAATGGTGGGAAAGTAGAGCTTTAAGGCTGTAGAATGGTAGGAATTTATAGAATGAGGACGGTAGTATGGTAGGAACGTAGAGCATTAGGACTAAAGTATGGTAGGATTGTAGAGCGTTAGGACGATAGTATGATAGGAATGTAGAGCTTAAAGACGATAGTATGGTAGGAATGTAGAGCATAAGGACAATAGTATGGTAGAAATGTAGAGCATTAGGGCGGTAGAACATTATGACGATAGAACTGCAGGAATGTAGAGCACAGGACTGTATAATGGTAGGAATGTAGAGCATAATTATGGTCAAATGGTAGGAATGTAGAACATTAAAATGTAGAAATGTAGAGTAAATGACTGTAGACTTGTAGGAATGTAGAGCATTAGGACGGTAGAATGGTAGGAATGTAGAGCATGAGGAATGAGGACGGCAGGTTGAATAATGGAACTGTATAGGTCACAAAGCGTCAATGAATAATGTCAAGTTAATATCCTTCTCAATCAACCAATTTCAAGGATGTCTGATATCACGTGAAGTTGAGCAATTTCCTCTTCTATTGTCTTGGAATATTTTTATTTACAAGATTAGATAATAGATTTTTACAAACATTCATCTGATAGACGAATTTTCATAGTTAAATCATTAATTTGTGGATTCTACTCAGTCATACATGTAAGATTGGTAGTAAGGCGTCGATGGTTAAACATCTTGATTAATTAATATTTTGTATATTTAGGTGAGTGTGTCTAGAAGATCCTTTAACCCTGGTAATATTCACGTATATGTCTGGTACGCTCAAACCTCCGGACTAACCAAGTGTATCTGGCAGTCTGCTATCTCCCAGCACCAGTTCTACCTTGACAGGAAGCAGGCGAGGTTACGAGGTCAGGCCGCACACAGAACTTTAAAAGAGATCGCCCGAGATCTAACTCGTAGCTCCGCTAGTCTCAGCTCAGCATCTAGTACTCTTAGTTTAACAGGATCCTCTCATAGTGTTGGGGTATCCGGTAGTATTAACAGCCATGAACAGGAGAGTGAGCTGACCGAAGATGCGCGCAGAGCACGGATGGAGATGGTGGCCGCGCTCAAGGCTAGACGAGAAGCTTTAGAAGAGAAACTACGTGAGAAGAGAGCAGTATTAAAGGAACTGTGTATCAAGGAGGGAGAACTGACCGGAGAGCTACCTCCCGAAATACCTCTTGCTCCCGGAGAACCTCTTCCTGTTATTCGGAAACGGGTTGGGACGGAGTTTCAGATATCGGAGAAACTGCTGAACAAGTCTGGTTCTCCGGAGGAGGAGCAACTAGCCCAGCTCGAACTAGAACTAGAAATACAATCAAAGATTGCCAGTGCTGCCTTAAAACTCGCCAACGACACAAGTGCAAGAAAGAATGTAAGACGCCAAAGAAAAATAAGTTACAATCAATGCCAAAAAAGATTAAAGGAACTGGAGTTCAAGGTTGCAAGTATTCAACAAAATAAACAAAAGAGACCTAAGCAGCCCAGACCCCTGCACAACAGCCTGGACACTAGAAATATTCATTCCAAAGAGGAGTTAAGACGAGGGAAATCTGTTCCTGATCTGGGTCAGGACTCCCAGGAGGAGAGTGAAACGGAGTCGGAGAAAATTGAAACCATCGTCTCTCCGCGTTCTTGTCCCAGCTCACCCAGGAAGCAGCCTCTTGGTATTCCACTTCATGATACTATCAGTATGAATCCAGCCCTGATGAGTCCAAGCAGGTTAGTTTATATTTTGTTACTCGGAATTTCTACAGAGAATTCGTTTTTTGTGTTTTAAATCCACTTCCGACTAATGATAAATTTAAATTGGTAAAAACATATAACCACAAGATATCACGCGTCTGTTACTACTTAAACCAGAATTTGTTTCCTTAGGAAGTAATTTAATAAATTTATTTTGTTTCAGGGCACAACGGATTGGTGGCTACATACCTAGCTCCGTTTATCTCCGGTCCAGTTATAGAACCAAACAGTTTCCAACCTTATCCACTAGACCGCACGGACCTATGAAAGCCGTGTGGAACCATGATCATGATCCCCGCTCTCAAACCCTTCCAGGACCTTACAAAAACAGGTTTGACTCTAACTCCGGATGCGACTCCCCTGTAGGACTTTACAACATACCCCAGCAAAGAACGAGTCAAGCTTTCTCTTCTCTAGACGACCTGGACGGGTTGGCAGGTATGGGTCCTCCTCCCACCCGGAGACCGGAGAATACAGCTCACTATCCTAGCCTGGAAAGAACCGCACGAAAAAAGCAAAAACCTATTCATCTCTCCAGTGCCGCAATAATGCAGGCAGCCCTGAGACCTGAATCTAGGTCCCTGGAGAATCTGGAGGTTCTGGAGAATGCTGGAGCCCGAGGTACTGCTAGAACTAGGAGCAGGATATCAACTACTCAGGATACTCTAGCTGCCAGGGAACAAGCTCTAGATGATCTAGTTTATAGAACAAATCAAACTACTCTGAAAAATACTGATGAGTATCCGTCCTCAGGATATGATGATGTAGACGGAGGATATCCCGCCCTTCCTCTTCCTGCCCGGAGAACAACTCTTCTGCCGGGACAAACCTACCCTGAACCAATCAGTGCTTGCTCAAATCTTTTGACTCACTCCCATACCGTTTCCTCATTACGGGACGTGTTATCCCCTCCTCGACTTATCTCTAGTTATAACCATACCTACACTGTTCATGCCAGGAAGGTTGAAACTACTTTTGGACTAAATGAGTCCGTTAGGACGCATCCTGTGATATCTAGTGACAGCGACTCCCCGCAGTTACCACAAAGAATAAATCAGACTGATGAAGTGAAACCTCCCTTGTTTCCTAAACAATATTATAATTCTGTCAAACATCGACATCATGTCAACTCATTGACGGAAAAATCTGAATCTCCCGCAGTTCCTAGAAAACTTAAACCTTCGTCTCAACTCTCCCCAGCTCTAACTCATGCCAGTTCTTTATCCTCTCAATCCCTGCACATCAATGATTCAAATTCATCCTTTGAAGCACCGGGATCTGATTCTTCCGGTCATCCAGGAGGCTTTGTTCCTTACCGAGAAACCTCTAAACCATTTGAAATGGCCGATTTTTATAAATACTCAACTAAATTTCGCAAAGCAAGTGCCAGCAGTCTTCGATCAACTGAGAGTGAGTCTCCTCATATTCCTGGTTCGGAAAGTCCTAGATCCGGATCCGGAAGTCAGCGTTCTTCCATATCAAGGGAAAGTGTTCCTCCCGATTTACCGAGTAAATCCCTTCCCGTTGGATCCGGAACCGTGTCAGCGGTCCCTGCCCTGGCCCGTCTTCCAGGAAAGCAGGGAGGAGAGGACGAGGAGAGTTTAGCGGACGCATTCTCCACTGAGATGTTGGCTTGGTATGAGCAGAAACATAGTTCTAAACCTAACTCACAATCTGGAAAACCTGCAACACTGGTCTAACCAACTAACCTGTCTTCCAGTATAAACGCGCCAACTTTATATTTGCATTTACAGTATAAACAGTTTCTGTAACTTTATGAATTTTCAAGTACAAATGCTAAAATTGTCTTAGTATTATATTTTTCAAGATTCTCTCTCTATTCTTTATAAATAGAATATAAACTTTATCGTGTTATTGTTTATTAATCAAGAAAAAACTATTTAGATAGTTTTTAATTACATTTTTTAATTCACTCTTCCCCTTTTCACCAAAAAGTTATTTTTAATTGGAAACAAAAACAAAATTACTTAAATTTTTATAAAATTGACTTTTTGAAAATTTACAGAAAAGTTGGGGGAAAATACAGTAAGTACAAATGTTCTACACATGGTATCCCTGAGTTTATTGGAATTATCGGAAGTAAGGGATTAGCAAAACGGATTTATTTGATTCCAGGTCAAATTTAACGAAAACCAGAGAGTCACATCTTTTTCCAAATCTCCCCCTCCACATACACACACAACTAAGATGATTTTTTTGTGTGAAAAAATAGGTGTAAATTGTGTATTTTTTCTCATCTTACAGTTGGTCTGAAAACTAAAGGAATTAAATACTTACGCAAGCTTTATATTTTTTAATCACAATATCTTTGAAACCTGATGAGTAATGATTGTGTAATTTTAGTTAATTTGATTCAGCAGATGATATAGTCATGTGCAAAGATATAAGGATCACACAACGCAATATAGAGTTTGAAGAGAGTATTCAGTTTCTTTGCTGAGATATTTTGAAGAGAAAAAATATTGAATTTTGCCAATATCTTCCTCGCTGAAATGAATTGAAATATGTTTCATACCCAGAATGTTTTCCGGAAACTTAATTGTTCAAAACATTTTGACAAAAATAATCCTTTGTAAACTAAACGAAAATAGCAATATTTCTCTATAGGAAGTTCTTTACTCCTCCCTGTTAATAAAATCTGACTTCCAAAGAAATACAGTTTTTCTTTCATTTTATTTCTCAAAACCTGGTTTCGGAACCAATATTTGGCTGACTTCATCTGGATCTGGTGCAATGGCTCTACTTAAAAGGGAATTTTGTTTACACAAAGGATTGGAAGTAAAGAGAAGTTGGTTTTACAAGTTGGAAGGATAAGTATTTAGTAATGTTAGGTTTATAGGTTGGAAGGATAAGAGAAGTCGGGTATAAAGTTCGGAAGGATAAAAGAAATTGGGTTTAAAGGTTTGGAGGGAGACGCTGGGTTTATATATTGGAAGGATAAGAGAACTCGGGTATATAGGTTGGAAGGATAAGAGAAGTCGGGTTTATAGGTTGGAAGGATAAGAGAAGTAGGATAAGAGAAGTCGAGTTTATAGGTTGGAAGGATAAGAAAAGTCGGGCTTTTAGAGCTTGGAAGTAAGAGAAGTTGGTTTTACAGCTTAGAAGGATACTTGAAGTTGGTTTGGGGTTGGAAGGATGAGAGAAGCTGGGTTCATATATAGGTTTCAGAGATAAGGGAAATTGGGAAAATGGGTTGGAAGGATAAGAGAAATTGGGTTTACGGGTTAAAAGGATAAGATAAGCCAGGTTTATAGATTGGAAGAATAAGAGAAGTTGGGTTTAAAGGTTGGGAGGATAAGAGAAGTTGGGTATAAAGGTTGGGAGGATAAGAGAAATTGGGTTTAAAGGTTGGGAGGATAAGATAAGTTGGGTTTATAGGTTGGAAGTATAAGAGAAGTCGGGTTTAAAGGTTAGAAGGATAAGAAAAGTTGGGTTTACAGGTTAGAAAAATAAGAAAAATTGGTATTAGGTTGGAAGGATGAGATTAATGGTTGAAAAGTTGGGAGGATAAGAGAAGTTGGGTTTTTATAAGTTCGGAAGGATGAAAGAAGTTGGGTTTACAGGTTGGAAGGATAAGAGAAGTTGGGTTTATAGGTTGGAAGGATAAGAGAAGTTAAGGGTAAATAGGTTGAAAGGACAAGAGAAGGTGGGTTAATGGGTTTTAAGGATAAGAGAAGTTGGCTTAATGGGTTGGAAGAACAGAGAAGTTGGGTTAATGTGTTGGGAGGATAAGAGAAGCTGGGAATTAATGGGTTGGAAGGATAAGTGAAGTTGGGTTTACAGCTAGGTTGGAAGGACAAGAGAAGTTTGGTTTATGGGTTGGAAGGATTTGTGAAGTTGGGTTTACAGCTAGGGTGGAAGTATAAGAGAAGTTGGGTATACAGCTAGGTTGGAAGGATAAGAGAAGTTGGGTTCACAGCTATGTTGCAAGGATAAGTGAAGTTGGGTTATGGGTTGGAAGGATCAGAGAAGTTGGGTTTACAGCTAGAGTGGAAGTATAAGAGAAGTTGGGTTTACAGCTAGGTTGAAGGATAAGTGAAGTTGGGTTATGGGTTGGAAGGATAAGAGAAGTTGGGTTTACAGCTAGGGTGGAAGGATAAGTGAAGTTGGGTTATGGGTTGGAAGGATAAGTGAAGTTGGGTTTACAGCTAGGTTGGAAGGATAAGTGAAGTTGGGTTATGGGTTGGAAGCTAGGATAAGTGAAGTTGGGTTTACAGCTAGGTTGGAAGGATAAGAGAAGTTGGGTTTACAGCTAGGTTGGAAGGATAAGTGAAGTTGGGTTATGGGTTGGAAGGATAAGTGAAGTTGGGTTTACAGCTAGGTTTACTGACACGTACATTCTCGGTTTGCTGAAAAGTGAATATATAAGCATACAATATCCACGCCCCCTGAAATTTTGCTTTTATGATGCCCCTGTCCTTGGCCATTCCTACGTCATCGTTGAGAAAGCTGCGAGCGCTGTAGTCAGCCGGTTGGGGTGGCACGGCAGACATATTTGAATCATAATTTAAGGAAATAGATATCATTTTCCATTTTAAAATCTTTCTAATTACCAAGGTTCTATCAAACCTCTTCTGCTATGGTTAAGCCCTGTTTTCTAATGAATCAGCTGTTTCTTCAAGCCCTGCCAACCTGACCCTGAGACTGAGTTTATCTTAATGTTTTTTAGTTTTATTTTAACTTTTAAAATTTTTATAATTTAGAAATATCAACTTTCTTTATCCAATATTTTCAGATGATGAACATTTGCAGAAACAAATTCTCCCAATCCTTAAATATTTTCAGTCGACAATTTCACGTTGGTAAAATGGCCCCAGTTGCAGTTGGTGACACCATCCCCTCAGTGGACCTGTTCGAGAACAACCCCGGGACCAAGGTGAACATTGCAGAGCTCTGCGCTGGGAAGAAGGTTGTTATTTTCGGCGTTCCTGGAGCTTTTACTCCCGGGTGCAGCAAGACCCATTTACCAGGTACGATTCCAGGAGTATTTGCATATTTTTAAAATACATGCATGCATACATTTTTTAGCACAATTTTTGATGTGAACTGCTGTTCTCCAAGCTGCTTTTTTTGTTCTGTCCTAGAGAACATTTTTTGACCCCCCCCCCTTATCAATTTTGTAGATGATTTTTTGGCAACTTTTTTTTTATTATCTTAGGGTTAGGTTAGGTTAAGACAATTTCTGGACCGAGCGTTGTGGCTAGGACAGGCTAGGGGGCCGAGCGCCGGGGCCAGGACTTTCTAGGGGGCCCGGCGCTCTGCCACATGACCAATGACAACCTTGTACAAAATTGATGGGGGGGGGGGGGCAAAAATCGTTCTTTAGGAAATTACCAAGGGTGCTTCGCGCCACCTTTTTCTTCACAATTTTGGCTTAAAATTTTCATAGTAAATGGGTCGACATTTTTTCCGGCAAAATTTTTCATCTTTAAACGTTTATAAACCTTTCATTGAGTCTTGTGGGATCGGTGAATAGGTACAAGAAAATAATTGTACTCCAACCTGAATTATTTTGTTTTGTTAGAATTTGGGATTAACAATATAACTTATAAACTAATTCCTTTTATATTAGCAAATTAGAACAATTTGAATACCTTTCACACTTTGATCCAATGAGCTTCTTTACCATTTACTAAGTAAAATGATATTTTGAAAAAGGCCATTGCAAACTGAGAATTAAAAGTAACTGAGAAAAGAAACCTCAAATAAGAATAGTAGTGATCGATTTCTGAATTAAATCCTGAACATTCCCTTTAATATATTTATATTAAGGTTATGTTGCTAAGGCTGAGGAGATTAAAGGGAAAGGAGTTGATGAGATAGTTTGTGTTTCCGTCAACGATCCCTTCGTGATGGAGGCCTGGGGAGAAAACCAGCAGGCCGGAGGAAAGGTAATGTTTTAAAAACAAAAGTTTAGGGATGTATATTTTCTATTAAAAATATTCCTTAAAGGGAGTGTTCACGAAAAATGAAAGGGGGTATAGGCTTACGGTAAAAAATAAGCGCTACTAAATCTTACTTCTGCCTGTTGCGTATATAGGCGCAACAGATAGAAGTAAGATTATCAATAGCGCTTTTTTTTCGCCGTAAGCCTATATCCTCTTTTATTTTTCGCGAATACTCCCTGTAAGCTCTCCCCCCGTTCCCGTCCACCGTTGAAAATTTAAAAAAAATACCCACATGTTAAGCATTTTTGCGTGGAGCTAAAAAGGGTTTATTTTATCTCGAAGAAAAAATACAACAAAAAAATTATGGTTAAAAATAGCTAAATTTGGTTTAAGTAAGAATTTTAAGAAGAAAGGCAATGATATTATACCTCCTTGTAGCTTGTTATTATATATCGGACATTTTATGATTACGTCACTTATAATTTTCTCTTTTCATGATTACGTCATTTATAATTTTCTCTTTTTTTGATTACGTCATTTATAATTTTCCCTTTTTATGATTACGTCATTTATAATTTTCTCTTTATGATTACGTCACTTAAATTTTCTCTTTTTTTGATTACATCACTTATAATTTCTCTTTTTATGATTACGTCACTTTTCTCTTTTTATGATTACGTTACTTATAATTTTCTCTTTTTATAATTACGTCACTTTAAATTTTCTCGTTTTATGATTACGTCACTTAAAATTTTCTTTTTTTATGATTACGTCACTTTTCTCTTTTTATGATTACGCTACTTAAAATTTTCTCTTTCTATGATTAGGTCACTTAAAATTTCCTCTTTTTATGATTAGGTCACTTATAATTTTCTTTTTTTTATGATTAACTCACTTATAAGTTTCCCTTTTTATGATTACGTCACTCATAATTTTCTCTTTTTATGATTACGTCACTTTTCTCTTTTTATGATTACGTTACATATAATTTTCTCTTTTTATGATTACGTCACTTAAAATTTTTCTCTTATGATTACGTTTCTTATAATTTTCTCTTTGTGATTACGTCACTTATAATTTTTTCTTTTTATGATTATGTCACTTATAATTTTCCCTTTTTATGATTACGTCACTTTTCTCTTTTTATGATTACGTTACTTATAATTTTCTCTTTTTATAATTACGTCACTTGAAATTTTTCTCTTTTTATGATTACGTTTCTTATAATTTTCTCTTTGTGATTACGTCACTTATAATTTTTTCTTTTTATGATTATGTCACTTATAATTCTTACTTTTCTTTTCAAACTTGCTACGCTATCATTGATTTATTCCATTTAAATGCATTGTGACATTCAGATTGACATTTGGAAGATTTGACATGAATAATAAATACTAAGTTAAGTTAAAATTGAAACCAATCACAAATGGAATCTTTGTTAAATGGCTTTAAAGGCTATAAATCTATATTTTATTTGTCAATGTGAATTTCGGACAATTTAACAGAAATCTTCCACTCAAAACAGCTACAAAACTTTTGGATCTGTTTCTGATTAAAAGATGAGCGAATATTAAGATAGTTCCGCTGTATATTGATATCACTGTACGATCGTTAGAGATTTATAACAATGATATCTAGGTTCGAATGCTAGCTGATACTACTGCTGCACTAACCAAGGCCCTGGAGCTAGACCTGGACCTATCTGCTGTACTAGGAAGTGTACGGAGCAAAAGGTTCTCTATGCTGGTAGAGGACGGGAAGGTTTCCAAGCTGAACATTGAACCAGATGGAACCGGTTTAACCTGCAGCCTGGCCGAGAATATTGTTTAAAAATAACGTTTTCAGAATATTTTTTCCTGGAATATTAAATCATTGGCATTTTATTTTATTTAGGTTGAAACCATTAGATATTATGTAAGAAATCAAAACCAAATACATTTTTAGATCTACTTTGTATGTTTGTTGCATAGATTAATAACAATACAGAAACACTATATTTCTTCTTTTCAAGATTTAGGGGTTTTTGTTCACAATAACCCTGAGGCAGAAGCCTATAGGAGTTTCGCGCATGCCGCGTTAAATGACAAGACAGACAGAGCATGCGCGAAACTCCTTTGAGCTTCTTCCCAAAGAAAATATATATATTTAGATACGAGAAAGTTGTATAATTTTAAGGTCTTCGAATAAATTTAAGCAGCACCATCTCCATCGTACGCAAGGCATTTTATCTTCTGGATTGTTGCTGAATTATCACTTTGTTTTTGCGTGATAACACTAAATGTGTACTTAAGTATTAACAAGTTAGTCAATGCAAATAAAACCAAGGTAGGAAGTTGACTAGACAAAGTTAAAATGTGCAAGTTGTACTTAAAGCATGTTAATTAATGCTCTGTTTTTTTAAGTTCTGAAAATTAACAGGAATTGTCAGTTAATTTTCTCTTTGTTATTATGCAGTTAAGTTGTTACAAATTTCCCAAAAAATGTCTTGCTTGTTCAAAACAGGTTCAAAATCAGTACCTTGCACTATTATTTTTGTAAATTCAAACCTATCATTCAGGATTTGAAAATTTCTCTTTCCAGAGGCCGAATTTAAAGAATTTGAGCCGCGGCTCAAATATGGCGGATTTCATTTAAAATTGTATTCAATTTTTTAAGATTTAAGCCGGCGCTCAATTGAAACCGGATTTTTGGGGATTTGAGACGCGCCTTAAATTCATTAAATCCGGACTAAGGACCACAGGAGGACGACCAATGACTACCTAACACTTTTTAAATTTTAAGTTATGAAGAATAAAATTGGTATATTGTGAGACTCAAAAAACGTGGAAATGGAAGACGACAGTTAAAACAATCTGATGCGTATTTAATGTTAAAACAATTAGTTTTACCCTTTGGGTTAAAATCCACTCACTGTACAATTTCCGTATTTCATGTTCATCTTAAACTGATGTTTAAAATCAAAATTTGAGCCTAAAAACAACTTACAGTCATAACCAGAAAACTCTGAAATATTAAGACGACTCTTAGACTCAAGTTATGACTTTAAATTGTCCAATGAGCATGGGACGCAGCAAACAACACCAAATACTTTCAGGGGCGTAAGAGGGGGCACCCATATAAAAAATACTTTAAAATCTCACTTTTGCCCTTTACTAAAAAAGCTTTAATCAATACTGCCTTCAGTGTAAATATATCTTCGATATTATTATTTATAATTATACAATATGTATCGTTTCTGTGAAAATATAGATATTTTTCACCCATTGAAGCTTATTCCTCAGTATGAAAGAGTAAGTGTCTGATGAGACCACTTAAGAAAATTACATATAAATAATTTATTAACACTTAAATGGAAGTACGTGTATATGATCGACTAGTTTACAAAGATAAAAAAGTATCAATATTTTTTCAGAAAAGGGGGTTTTAAGGGGGGGGGGTAAAAAAATTACCAAGGGGAGGGAACCAAAAAGTGCCCCCCCCACACAAATGCTCTCGTACACCCATGAATACACTTATTGTATGTCTGTGTTACAGCTAGTAATTTAATTTTATTGGTCAAACAGGTCAAGTTAGCAACACTTGAACTATACAGGATGCAGTACGCGTACTGTATGTTTATAAAACACAAATGCGTATTTCCAACAGATGACAGCAGGGGGAGAAAGGAAAATAGAAAGTAATCACTTTGCTATAGATGTCTTTTGTTTCAATGTTCTTTAGAGGTACAAGCAATTTAGTCAGGAGGGTTTAACCTGCCAGCGTATTTATATACATAATCTATCTATCTATATATATAATATATATATTATCTTTGCTTCTGTCTCAGGGTTATTGTGAATGAAAAACCCCTAAATCTTAAAAAGGCGACATCTAATTTTCTATCGCTAGTTAAATATTTTATTGAAAATTATTTTGATTGGTGATTATTTCAGTTAAACATAATAAGTATGGTAATTATTTTTATGTTTCAGCTTGGGTTAATTTATGTAAATCATAATGATGTCAAATTTATTTCCGTAGAAAAATGTCTTACTTTGTCTTAAAATTTCCTTCAAACATTTTTGACATTTAATTAAGACATCTTTGTTTGAAAACGCTAAAATACAATTTATAGTTAGAAATAAACCAGGGAGTATGATTATATGATTATAGAACATGCTTTGCAGACGGGTACTCCATTTGTATATAAAATATTCAGAAAAGGTTATTGTATACGCGGTAATTGTACATCAGACAAATATTTCTTATTCAAATGAAGTACCCGTCTGCAAAGCATGTATAATTATGGTAGGGCGAACCGCGTCAGTTATATCTCTCTTCTATTCCTTACTCCCTGAAATAAACACAATAAAAACTGAAGTAGACTGTTTCCATCAATGTGAGAATACTAAAGTTATGACGTAACTAGTAACCAGCCTAACAAATCGAATAAATACTCAAGTTTAACACACAAAATAACACTACCTGCGCAACTTTACAAAATTTACCATCAACATTGTTAAACTTAAAAAATTACTAATACAAACACCCAAACGTCTGCTCTCGTCAGGCTTAATTTGTACTGCAAAATAAACGTAAAGCATTCTATTGCACAAGATTGTAATGTACAATCTAGAAATCTAAACTTTTGCGTGAAACAAAATGTGATATACAATCATATTCCTTTAGACCAAGAATGGAAATTATTCCTCATGATTTACAAAATTATCTTCTTTAACTTTATTAAAGAAGATAATTTTGTTCTAAACAATTTTGATGATAATGAGATCGCAACTATGATCAACTTTTTATGTTCCGACCAGAAACTATATTTATATATTATACCTTATTCTTGTTTTTGTTTAATCATTTTGTACCATTTTACCTTTGTGTACGAAATAAATCTATAATAATAATTTAACATCAATATATTTAATTTTAAAAACTTGAAACTGTAAGTACTGTACTTAGTGTTAATTAAGTCTTCATTTCCCTCCCTAATTGTACTCATTTCCCTTCCATCCTTGTCTCCTTCCTTGTACTCATTCCTTTTCTGACCCTCCCGGCCCCTTGTACGACTTGTACCCGGTCCATTTCATCCCTTAGCCCCTACCCCTTTACTTAGTTCTTTCATTTGTTTAACAGCTATTGGAAATAACAAAAAAATTTAAACACGAGAAAAATCCATAGAAATAAGAATTCGGTATAGATCAAGCACCCTTAGCACCTTGAAACCCTTTAAACAGCGCTTTTATTTCGAAATATTATTCGACAAAGGGGGGCAACCCCATCCAGAACACCCCCCCCCCCACACTTGAAAAATATAATTTTGCCCCTTCTCACAAGTGCTGGTTGCCCCCCTGCCCTGAGCTCATTACTGCCCCCCTCTCTGTACTCATTCCCTTCCATCCCTGCACCCCTCCTCTGTACTCTCTGTACTCATTCCAATCAATCCGTTCTGGTTCTGTTCTAATTCCTTTTCATCCCTTTGCTCCCTCTGTCCCTGGTCTGCCCCCCCGCACTAATTCCTCTCTTTTTATCCAGCGTCCGTTTCGCCCAATTCTTTCTCCCATCCATCCTGACTAACTGCCGACCAAGCTGATTAAAGATACACCAGAAAGAATGTGCCGCCTCAGACAAAACATTTTTAAAGATCTATAAGAATAGAATCTAAATCAAATGGCTATAAGCTGCCTGCTCTCTTTTCTTGCGCTACTAATTTCCGGTGGGTCCTTAAGGCTACTTTTAGGCCAATAATTCAATAGAAAGGTGCAGCCTTAAGGCTACCAATTCAAAAGGCATCCCAAAATCTTATTAGGCTACCTTTATGAAAAGTGGCCTTCTGGTAGGCTACCTGGCAACCCTGAAAATAACTATTTTAACATTATGATTCTTTGACTGGAAGTATCATGATTCCTTGGGAGTTTCTGGTTTGCCAAAGACTATTCCTTCTCATAGAACGTACGAACAAGGTTCGTCCTAAAGACATATACTTTGGGGAACTATATTTAGGCCGGTAGAATTAGATGTCTCGCGTAAGTTTCTTATCTGAATCTGATAGATAGATAATTAGAACGCACACAGTCGGAGACGTGAGCTGGTCGACCATTGTAATTTTGTAAAGGAACGGCCTCAGCACAAGTGGAGGGAGTGATAAACCAAGGACGTTGAGTAAACCTTGACCAGGTTTAACAACAGCTCAGCACTATACAATGTTAACCGTCCTAAAGTAACTATACCTTACACATTTTACTGTTTTTCAACATAGAAGTTAATGTTTTCTCTTGAATTTGGATGGGTTCGGGACGGATTTACTCTTTCCAGGGAAAGTTTATTTAGCCCGGAGAACAAGTTATTCTAAACCCCTCGGGCGAATTCTTACTACGCAAATACGATGGTGTGTCGGAAATCTTGGACTCTCCTCTGGGTCTTCCTTGGTAACATTGTTAGACATAGTACACCAATTACAAGGCCCGGCTATACCATCAAAGAATATAATTCAGTTAATTGTTCAATTTCTATATTTTAAGTTTTATATATCGTTATTTTAGATCATTTATCCAAATACAAAACTATTGATAATGAATGAAATAGAATTTTAAGTTTAGATTGTGATATTATTAGAGTTTCAGGTATAAAGACACCTCCTTTGTCAGGGGCTGATACAGGAATTAAGTGCAGAGGAGGGTGGTATTTATTTCGGAATTCAAAAAATCAGATTTAGGAACAAACATTTTTTGAAGATATATATTTTTCCTGTTTTGCACTAGGTTATCTTTCCCTTAAGTGCTATCGAGAAGCTATTCTGAAATCTCAGGGGGGGGGGCTATGCCAAGGGGGTGCAAAGGTCCTGCCGCCCTCCTGTGTCCGCCCCTGTCCTTTGTGTATAACTAACCCTGGACCAAAAAGTAAGAAATTATAGTACGAATTTGCTGCAATAGGTTATGTTAAGAAAAATTTGCTATTCTATA